ATGTCATGGAAAATCATAACGTAAAAGAGGACTACAATAAAACATTGGTCCAGAGTTTCTTCGCCACCGTGGAAAATATAGATTTTTCCAAAAGTGATGATGCAGCCTCTGCCATAAACAAATGGGTGGAGCATAGCACCGATGGTACAATCCAAAATCTTGTATCATCAACCACACTAAATTCGGATACTAGAATATTTCTACTGAGTGCCATTCACTTCAAAGGTGAATGGCTTACTGAATTCCCCAGCGAAGCCACCAGCCAACAAGATTTCTTTATCAACAATCCGAATACAGTCATAAAGCTGCCAATGATGTATAAAAGAGAACTAGCATATTATAATATCTTCCCCGAGTTAAATGCCACAGCATTGCGTTTACCCTATAAAAATTCCGATCTTTCTATGTTGATTCTTTTACCGAATTCCATCGATGGTTTGACGGCCTTGCAGGAAAAACTGAAGGATATTTCATTTGCATCAATTGCAAATCAAATAGAGGATCGTACTTATGTTCAAATTTATTTGCCGAAATTTCGAACTGAATTCGAAATGGAATTAAAGGGTGTTCTGTCAAAGGTAAATGCAATTAATATTGTTTTGCTAAAATTCATGCAATTTATTTCTTTTCAATTTTAGATGGGCATGAAAACGATGTTCAATTCTGGTGAATTCGGTGGTATGCTAAAATCAGCCGAACCAATGCAAATTTCAAATGTCATACACAAGGCATTCATTGAAGTTGATGAGAAGGGCACTGAAGCTTCGGCTGCAACAGGTATGTTCAACTGATGGTTTAAATCGTAGAGAAAACCGAGCAAAATCGAATATTCTGATAGTTTTTCCAAAAACACCGATGGCAAATTTAGTTTTAAAGTCCAAAACTTTTGACAGTTTTTTGTATCATTCACCAAGAGGTACCGTGAATATCAGATTTATCAATCTGTTTTGAAAACCTCTAAATATTCGTGATAAGAATTAAATTCTTCATGTTCGTCTGTTGAAATCAATTTAGAGATCTGAATATTAGGGCATATAGGTTTTAAAATTCAATTAACATATATTGGTCCCTATTTCGGAATAACCCATACATTGTAGTGTAGTGTAGGCTGTAATTAGACACTTTGGTCCGTACCGAGTTATAGAATTTCGAATTTTCACCACAAGTTTTGCCCAGCATTTACCCTTCATCACACTGTTGTACAGGCAAAAGGAAATGAGATAGACACATGGTTCCTTTTGAGAATATAGCTATATATATATATATGTTCGTCCGATTTTATATAAAGCCCCTATTTATACCCTTCACAATAGGGTATTATGTCCTTATGCATATGTTTGTAACAGGCAAAAGGAAACGAGATAGACATATTGTTCTTTTTGAGAATATGCATAGGATCACTTTCTGTGTCGATTTATGCATGTCCGTCCGTCTATCCGTGTGTCCGTCTGATGGTGTTAAATTGTAAACAAAATACAGGTGGAACTTATCATCGAATTCGGATGAAATTTGGCGCAGCTCATTCATTTGGCCCAAGGATGAACCCTATTGATATTGTGAGAAATCCGTTCATATTTAGATATAGCTGCCATATATTTTTTCGTCCGATTTAATGTAAATGGTGAACCAAAGTCCGTAAATATCTTTCGATTGGCACGAAATTTGGCATAGCACACTGAATTAAGTCTAGAAAGATGTGTGTTAACTTTCATGAAAATCGGTTCAGATTTAGATATAGCTCCCATATATATTTTCGTCCGATTTAAGGTAAATGGTGCGCCAAAGTCCCACAATATCTTTCGATTTGCACGAAATTTGGCACAGCTCATTCATTTCGCCCAAAGGTGAACCCTATTGATATTGGGAGAAATTGGTTCTGATTTAGATACAGCTCCCATATACAATTTCGTTCGATTTAAGGTAAATGGTGCACCAAAGTCCCACAATATGTTTCGATTTGCACGAAGTTTGGCACTGCGTATGGAATTGAGTCTAGAGTGATGTGTGCTAAGATTCATGAAACCCGGTTCAAATTTAGATATAGCTCCTATATATGTATATATGCGTCGATTTTATGTAAAGCCCCTATTTTTCTTTAAATTTGCACGAAATTTGACTTAGCGCATGGAATTGAGCCTAGAATGACGTGTGCAAAGTTTCGTGAATATCAGTTCAGATTTAGATATAGGCCCCATATATATTTTCATCCGATTTAATAGAAATGGCGCACCAAAGCTCTTATATATACTTCTTTAAATTTTATGGGATTTTTTATTGAAGAGGAGTGTCTGTACTGATTTAGTCCAAACTTTGGTCAGAATATAATACATATTATGTCAGACAGTAACCAAGCCATAAAAACAATAACCTCTAAAACAGTTAAATCCAAAAGAAACAATAACTGATTTCTCGCGACATGGTCACGTACGAATCATTGGTTACCGAGTCATATAGGAATAATACGAAACGAGATAGCAAATATACTCGCCAGAAGTGCGACCGACAGACAGATGTAAATAATGCCTAACCTTTTAGTGCAACGTGTCTAGAACTAAGGTCATAGGCAACGAAACACCACAAAATTCTTTGGGTTAGCGAGGGAACGGGGATGAACACAAAAATTTATCGGGAGACCCAAACGAGGATAACATACCGGACTGCGGGGCCACTTACAGAAGATTGGATGCGAGGAAAGCAACTGATGTAGAACGTGTGGAGAAGACAGCGAAAAGTCAGAACGTTTATTGTGTCATTTCTAAGTCTTTTCAAGGTTCCGAACTCAATTCATAGGAAATGAATGAAAAAAAGAAAAAACTGAAGGACTTCACTAACAAAACAGAATTCCTAGACCTTTAGGGCAATAAAATCCAAATATGACGTTCTAACTTTCTTCTTTCTGTGGAGCACACAACAGGCCACTTACAGGATTTTTTCAACCTAACTTAACCTAACATAGGGAGATCCCAATGAGTTGATTTTTCATTTTATTTCTTACCGCCTTAAAGTGGTCTGAAGGCGTAGAATTTTGATTTTTTTTAATGTGTCAATAAGGTATCTAGGCGTTAATTTTTCAATTTTTTTTTTACGTCTACATTTTTCTTAGTTATATTTTTTTACTTTTGAATTATTTTTTCAGGTCTAACAATTACAACACGAAATGGTGGCGTCATGCACTCTCTTACCTTCAGAGCTGATCATCCATTTTATTATACTATCATCAATGATGATAATATTCGCCTGTTTGAAGGAACCTTCATAGGAATTTAATGGCATTTTTTCTGTAAAGAAATCCCTTTTTTAAATTATATATTATTCAGTTATATAAATTGTAGTAAGGAAAAATAAAATATATATTGTAAATAAAAACACACAAGACCATATTTAACGCCAATAGGTTTTACTATGTGATGCCAAACCTTTATATTACGTATTTACGACGAATTTGGCTAGATGAATGCATGCCCAATGATTGGAACCTCAGCAACCTGTGTCCCGTGCACAAAAAAGGAGACAAGACGATATGTGCCAACTACAGAGGAATAAGTCTCTATATGAACGATTGAAGCCAATGGTCAGTGACATCATTGGACCATACCAATGCGGCTTCAGACCTGGCAAATCCACCATTGACCAGATTTTCACTCTGCGCCAAATCCTGGAAAAGACCCACGAAAAACACATCGACACATACCACCTATTTGTCGACTATATCCGTTCAGAGGTGTTTGAAGCCATGTCTACTTTCGGCATTCCTGCAAAATTAATACGGCTTTGCAGGATAACGTTAAGCGGCACAAGATCAGCAGTAAATGTAGGAAAGGACATATTGGAGCCCTACAAACCAAACGAGGATTCAGACAAGGTGGCAGTCTGTCGTGTGATCTTTTTAACATCCAACTGTAAAAGGTCATACGTGACGCATAGGTGAACAGAAATGGCACTCTGTATACCAAACAACACATGTTACTCACCTACGCCGATGACATCGATATAATGGGTCGAACATTGCGAGCGGTAACATCCACCTTTGAACAAATTGAAAAGTAGTCTCCCAAAGTGGGTCTGGCAGTAAACGGCGAGAAGACCAAGCTGATGTTATCAACGCGCAAGACGTCCAGTAGACTCGGACCAACTGTGGAACTTGAGAACTACAGCTTCGAGGTAGTTAAAGACTTTATATAACGAATGACATCAGTTTTGAAATACGGAGAAAGATTGTGATGGGCAACCGATGCTACTATGGTATGAGCAAAAAACTCAAAAGCAAGGCCACCTAGCGCCAGACCAAACTCACACTATACAAGACGCTGATATGTAATATATGATTTGCACTTGAAACATCTAAATTCAGATCCGACCAAAAAATACCTATTTTTATTTTGCTCGTTGGCAACCCTAAAACAAAAGTCGCTTAAAGGAAATTGCTTCTATTTCAATTCTTTGCTGATCATAAGCTCTGTTATCGATTGTCACTCTCTCAATCATGCAATTTTAAGAAAAAGCAAATTGAAATTAGGTGTAGAGAAAACTAATGAAATACTGAAACTTCCTTTTATTAAAACACTTCAAAGAACACGGAACAAATTAAAAAGAGAGATAAGCAATTATAAAACATCAAAAAAATTTACATTTTTCTAATCAATCCAAAAGTGAAATTTATTAAAAGTTGCTTAAATTTTTGTGTTGAAACTAAAATTGAGTGCCAGTAAATCTCAAATTGCGCAATTTGGTGAAAATTTGTGGTGCCCTATTTATCCCAAAGAAATCTGAATATTTAAAAAGTGATTTTCCGGATTATCTGAAACAAAATTGGTAATAAAAGGCCGTAAACCACCATTCCAGCATCCTTCCTCCGATACTGAAACTTTTTTGCGTGCTCCACATGCGGAAGAAAGCACACCACAACGTAAGGAGCGGAGACCTGCATTGCGGAGAAGAGGAGATTTTGCTGACGATTTCTACCAAATACATAAAATTCTTCCTTCCAAATTTGGAAAATCTTAAATTGGAGCTTTCGGCTGAAACTACAAATTAAACCACTTATTCATCTATTGTGAAACGCTGTGCGGAAGAATAAACGTAGGGTAGAGTTTAGAGTAAGAAACCTCGTGGAGTAAGAATTGCTTAAAAATCCATTACATTTCAATATTCGCATTATTCGATTATTTCCTCAAAGATTTAATTGGAATCACCATATTACTATTGCCAAAATGCCAACTTAATCCCAACTTTCTTAAATTAAATTTATTTAATAAAATTAAATAACCAGTAAATTTAAGAAAAATAGAATAAATTTTAATAGAATATCCATACAAATTACGTAACTAAGGCTAGAATGTCAAAATTTTGGTAATAAGTAATCAATGATGAATCCATAAATTCGATTTTTAATTTTAGTTATTGTCGTATTTCATAACCCTAAACATATAATTACAGAAACCACAATTAAATGTGTAAGGTATTTACAAATTGATCATCCAATACCTATATTTGATTATCATTATTACCCTCATATTACTATCAAACATCATTAGTTTGAACACATCCAGCATCGAACTTCAGAAGGCCTTCCCGAACTTCGTATAACCTGGTAAGTGAAATGATCATTAGTTGCAACTCATATGAATGAAGAAAGAATAATTGTAATTTTTTTTCGTTTGCTTTGTGTCATTGCAAAGCATTGATAATCTATTTTGTTGTTGTAATTTTTTTTCACTGTTGTTGTTGTCTTCAACGACCTGCACATTTCATTGTCGTTTTCTGCTTAAAGCAAAATTACATAATTGAGATCATTGTTAATTCTTATTCTTCTTTATCTTGATATGTAATTGTTGTTGCTCAATCCACTGCATAAACAATCTTTAACAAAACTTTGATATTTCCCAACGAACAATTTTTATAAGATTTAGCTATACATTTGTTAATGTTTTAAAAAATGGTTTATGTTTATTTATACTGCCAAATTATAACCAATTGAATTTATGGAATTTATTACCAAAAAAAAAATTATAAAGTACATAATATAGTTAATAGGAATATTTTATACGTAATTTTGAAAAATGATCTGAAATACTAAATATATACCATTATGAAGTGCTAAATCTACATTTTGTTTTCGTAGAAATGTGGTAGTGTGTGATCAGGTAATACACTTCAGGGGTCCTGAAAATAAGCGCACTCAGGACATTGGCTAGGGAGGGTCAGATAGCGCTGGTCTCATAACATCTGAGATCTAGGAATATTGAATGTGTCCGTATCATACACTATGATTATTAAGGGGATTTTAATTTGTCATAATCATATCTCATATCATCCATTTCTACATTTGCCAAAAATAGGGAGTCTATAAAATTTTCTGTTTAAAAACCATCTTCTGTTGTACAAAGGACAAACCCCCCCAAATTCCGACTGAAGCTAGATTTCAATGGCTCCCGCAGTCCTTTGCCCACAGAACAATCTTTGGAAAACACCTAACCAAAAGCGATGTCAAACTATCAATTCATCATATACCATCAATGTAAGTCTCACCACCGTCACTCGCAAAATTTATCTAAAGGTTTGTTACAGATACTACCTGTGCTATTATATGGATCAGAAGCATGAGTACTTGCGCGAACAGATGAGGCAGCTCTTGGAGCGTTTGAGAGAAAAAATTCTACGGGCCGATCTGCGTCGACGGTGAATATCGGCGTCGAATGAACCACGAGCTCTACAATTTATACGCGGACATCGACATAGTCAGTCGTATTGAGCTGCAGCGACTACGGTGGCTAGACCATTCTCATTCGTGCGGATGAATGAGAATGCCCCAGCTCAAAAGGCATATAAAAACTAGCCTACTGATGGTTCCCGTAGAAGGGGAAGGCCACGAATTAGATGGAAAGACCAAGTAAAAAACAACATCTGGGAACGTGGTCTTCCATATTGGTGGATTTGCGCACAAGACCGACGCGCTTGGAACAACCTAGGCCACCAGGACAACGCTAGGCCACACACATCTACAGTTACTCGCCAGAAACTTCGGGAGTTTGGTTGGAAATTTTAAGGCATCCGCCATACAGACCGGACTTGGCACCAAACGATTATCATATTTTTCTTGCATTACAAAATTTCTTTAATGATAAAAAATTGGTATCTAGACAGGATTGTGAAAATCGACTACTAGAGTTTTTTTGCAAATAAAGAGCGGGACTTATGAAGTTACCTTTAAAATGGCAACAAATCATAAAACAAAACGGTGCAAATCGGACATTCCGAAGCATGATAAATAAAGTCCTATAGTTCATATAAAAATAAAAAAAATAAAAAAAGAAATGTATGGCATTGTTTGCCGAGGGGTAAGGCAGGGAAGACTATAGTTTCGGATCACGCCACTGATCCTCATCAGTTCCCTTAGTTTTTTGTTGGGATATTCTCCCCAGAAGCTATTGCTTCTATACAAAAAACCTTTCATACCCAAATGTCTCTTGTAACAAAGCGAAGTACTTAGCTGACCAATGACATAAACTGCATGAGAATTTCGCTGGAGCCTCACTTCGAGGTTAACAAGGCATTTACAAACAATACCACACCTTTCCTACTGTTGTGTGTTGTCACATCGCGACAAATGCACACAACGACTTTGTTGGTGTTGCTAGTATACAGCAACAAAACAAACAGTTTAACCGTTCCTGCGTCTACAACTTCAGTACTGTTGGCGGTTTATTTGGGATACCATTTGTATTTTGTTTTTGAAAAACAGTCAGGCTGAATCCCAGTTTGTTGTTTTTATAAAAAAAAAACTATTTATTAGTGGGGAATGGTGAAGTTGTAGACGCAGGCAGGGTTAAAGTGTTTGGTTTGTTGCTGTATACTAGCAACACCAACAAAGTCGTTGTGTGCATTAGTCGCGATGTGACAACACACAACAGTGGGAAAGTTGTGGTATTGTTTGTAAATGCCTTGTTAACCTCGAAGTGAGGCTCCAGCGAAATTCTCATGCAGTTTATGTCGTTGGTCAGCTAAGTACTTCGCTTTGTTACAAGAGACATTTGGGTATGAAAGGTTTTTGTATAGAAGCAATAGCTTCTGGGCAGAATATCCCAACAAAAAACGAAGGGAACTAATGAGAGGATCAGTGGCGTGATCCGAAACTATAGTCTTCCCTGCCTTACCCCTCGGCAAACAATGCCATACATTCCCCACTAATAAATAGTTGTTTTTTTTTTATAAAAAACAACAGACTGGGATTCAGCTTGACTATTTTGCAAAAACAAAATACAAATGGTATCCCAAATAAACCGCCAACACTACTAAAATGATACATTTCTTTTTCCATAACCTTTTTTCTCAACCTAATATTTATAAACAAACTTGCGATTTACTGATCATATGCACTATTCCCTGTTCTCCAGTGTGTTGTTGATTATAAATATTGTTGATATGTTTCTCCCCCAAAAAAGTACATTTGCACAAGTGTTATTTCCGAAATTATGGGAATTTCCTATTAAAGACCTAAAAGCTTCTTGTGCTTGACTCAGCACTCAACTTAACGCTTGGAAATATCATATTCTTGTTATTCTAGTCAGATTCTTTTGTTACCTACCTATAAATATACATAAATAAATATTTTTAATATACATACTAACAAAATTTTTTCTCAATTTTAATAATATCTAATTATTTAACTAAAAATTTCAAAACAATTGACTCAACAATTTTGGCTAGACACCTATAAGAAATTCACACCCACATAACCAGCTTAATTTTAATAAATATGAATAACACTATGCGACACGGTATTGGGATGGATGTCGGTTAAGTTATTGAGTTATAATTAGGTGGATCTATAATTAGGAAGAACAAATTTATATTATTGGTTTGCGAGTTAATTGTATATTAAAACCAGTAAGGAAAGTTCAAAGGCGGACGGTTCGACTATATGACACCCTTCACCACTTTGGATATATGCAAGGCATGTTAATATCTACAATATCCTGTAGATAGAACGGTCATAGAATCTTTATTAAATGTGCATAATGTTGTGCATATTCTCAAAAGTCATATCAAACGGATATGACTAAATCGACGTATAATAGTATTCTGGGGTCTCTGATAAATATTTCGGTGTTTTGCAAATGGGATGACAAATTTAATATACACAGGCAAAAGGAAACGAGATTTATGCATGTCCGTCCGTCTGTGTGTCCATGTTAAATTGTAAACAAAGTTATAGTCGCATTTACGGTCCGAATTGGATGCAATTTGGCACAGCTCATTTATTTTGCCTAAGAACGAACCCTATTGAAATTAGGAAATCGGTTCAGATTAAGATGTTGCTCCCATATAAATTTTAGTCCGATTTAATGTAAATGGTGCACCAATGTCCCTATATATCTTTCGATTCACACGAAATTTGGCATAACTGCTGAATTGAAGCTAGAATGATGTGAGTTAAATTTCGTGAAAACCGGTTCAGATTTGAAGGTAGCTCCCATATATATTTGCTTCCGATTTTATATATATTGAGCCCTATAGACCTAAAGTTTGTCCGATTGCCACACAATTTTGTACAATGTACTGAAGTATAATATAAATCTTAATCTCGCAAGATTCTGAAATTTTCAAAAGAATGTTCTTCAGGAACAAATGCTTGCGAACGAACAAATCGACGACGCTTGCAGCCAAATTTTATAGTTCGTGAATTTTTCGTACAATGCGAACATTCGCGAGAGATTGCAAATGCTTGTAACTTTATCATTCGCGATAAATTGAAAACATTCGAATTCTCGGCACTCTTCGCACCCTGCTTCCAATGCGTCAATTGTAGTTGGTTTGTTTGTATAGACATGTGCCTTAACATACCTCCACAAAAAAATTTAGAAAGGCTTTAAGTCGAATGATCTTGTCGCATGATTTTATGCGTGTCAATCTGATGCATTTTGGTTAAAAAATTGGATATCATTTCGCAGTAGAGCTCGCCATTCACTGCTACGTTACAATTACGACACAGCAACGATCTTTGAAGAATGATGCCACAATTATTAGCTTTTGCATTGCTTCTAGCTTATCTTCACTCTAAAATTGATTTATGTACCCTAGCCTTTTTACGTTCACTTGGAGCCAAAAATTAGCTACCTACTACCATTCTAAGTGATCATTAACCAAAAATTCAGCGTTGCGAATTCGGTTCGCCTCAAATTCTTCAATTTCTTACGAACGGCGACGAATCTATAATTGATGGTTATCATAAGCACTGGACGATATAGCAGCGATTAATTCACTCTACGTAGGCGTTTTGGTGTTTTTTTGATGTTCAACCATGTAAATTTGGAGCGAAATTTAGCTACAATAGCCCCAAAAGCAGTTTCAGTGAGTCAAATAAAACTTGACATATGGGTTCTTAATATACCTCCCAAAGGCTGTCATTCCATAAAATCTAGTAGCACAGTGTAATTTATAAAAGATCACAAAACAATAATTGAAATGTATTCCATTCGTTTTCATTACTCGTTTAAAATTTGTTTTTATTCCAGAGTTGAAAAAGCAAGATGTGGGGTAAGTAAAGAATATATAAAATTTGAAAATCTGGTATAAAAAAACTACAAAAAATGTCTACAGTTAAAACAACACTACTTCTTGGAGCCTTAGCCATTTGTGGCGCCCAAACAACAGCAGCATTTTCCGATTCAATTTTCCAAAAAGCTTTATCGCAATTTGGACGAAAAATTTTTAATGAAATTCTAACAAATGATGGACCACAAAATATTATTCTATCTCCCTTTGCCATTCAATCGTGTTTGACAATGTTGCAAATGGGTGCTGATGGTCAAACTGCTGAGCAGCTACAACGTGGCTTAAATTTTGCCAACATTAATAGGGAGCAATTGACCAGCAATTATCACTCCATACTGGCAAAATATCAACAAGGAGACATACTAAAAATTGCCAATAAAATCTATGTAATGCAAAACGAAGAACTCAGAGATGATTATAATGAAATCTTATCCCAAAATTTCTATACAACTGCAGAAAATATCGATTTCACTCAAGTTGAAAATGCCACAGCCGCAATTAATACTTGGATTGCCTCGAAGACAAACAATATGATTAGGGATTTGATAACTGAGGATAGCATAAGTCCTTATACCCGCTTATATATTTTAAGTGCAATTTATTTCAATGGCAAATGGGCTAAAGCATTCCCGAAGGAATCAACGAAAGAAGAATATTTCTATTTGGATACGAAGAATTTTCGAAAAATTCAAATGATGAGAGTACAATCGAAATTTAAATTTGGTTTTGTGGATGAATTGGAAGCATCGGCGGTTATATTACCTTATGAGGATATTGATCTTTCGATGTTAATTATTTTACCCAATGCAATTGATGGTTTGGCAAATATTACACGGAAGTTACAGAATATAGAGTTGTCTTCACTTATTGCAAGAAAAGTGAAATATGCCATGGAAGTTGATTTGCAGATGCCAAAATTTAAAGCGGAATTTAAAATCAAGCTGAGTGACATACTTAAAAAGGTAGGATTATTATTAATACGTATTATTAAATTACATACACTAGATTCGTCGGAAAAATATCGCAAGTTTAAATTTTTACCTATAAGAGATATGAGCATTTTGCGTGTCAAAACTTCCAGATTCATTTAAGATTTAAAATTTTTAAGACATAAACCATTGTGTTTTCCCGAAAGAGAGGCATGAGCTAGGCATTATGAAGTTACCTTTAAAATGAAAACAAATCATACAACAAAACGGTGCATATTCGGACATTCCAAAGCATGTTAAAAAAAGTCTTAAGGGCCCCATAGACATATCCCTTTGCCTATTTGTAGATAAGACGATATAGCTCACAATATATAAGATATAGCTTTGAAATTGTGTCCAAAAATTGCTAATATTTCCAGGACGTTCGTTATGGATAACGGGTATATTGCTTTGAAGGTAAAATATCTCCAAGCTTTTCAGGTTATCCTACTCAAATTTTCCAACTCAAAATTAGCAACATTGGTTTACATTTTTTACATTTTGATATAGCTCCCATATAACAGCACCATCTCATTTTCGGTATTTTACAAACCTTGGCTGACCGAGCCCTCATTGTCAGTCAGGCTGCACCAATAGTCACGAAATTATGCATGCAATAATCCGTTAATATTTAGAGAATGAAATTCACCAAAAACATTATTTATGTCGGTTTTTATGGTCGCCACAATTATGACCCGAACAACACCCTTACACCAGGAAGGGAATGTGGCCAAAGAATAAGTATGAAGAGCGGTCAATATTCTGCGGGTCAAATATGCCCAGACTTTTGTGAGAAAAATTACAAAATTTGTCATTACTGCTGAAGGACCTAGATCGGAGAAGTTTATAGTATATCAAAGAGGAGTGCTTGACCGTTAAAGTGATACCAATTATATTGTTGTATGTACTCGTATGTGGGAGTTATACGTAAATATTTAAAGGTGTCTATGTGTTATGATATATTTTAGTATAACAATTACGCCACTAGAGGGCGGAATTCTCGCGCTGATCGCTTTGAAATTTTACATGAAATTCCGGTTATGACTATTGTTTTTGGAAATGATCCGTTAATATTAGGGGATCAAATGGACAAAAATGTTTATTTTGGTCGGTTTAGACACACACAATTATGACCCGCATGTAGAAAGGGGTTTACACCAGGAATTTACTCCTAAAGGACATAGACTCGAAAAATTGACCTTTACATTGGATGCCTATAATTTTCGGTGATGTTGAGATGATATTTAGGTGATGCAATGAACCGAACACTTTCTTTTTGTCAGATTTTCTAGTCGCTCTATTATTATATGCAGAACATCACATATTTAACACATATTTTAGATGATGATCAGTCAATATTCCGAGGGTCAAATTAACGAAAACAAAATTTTTATTTTATGGCGTAAATATTCACGTCTGGGAAACAAGATTTTAAGAATATGCCGCGGTTAGAAACTCAAGCTATTGACCTATTATCGGTGAAGAGGGTGAAAATATTGCGAAATATTAGACAGACTCAGAATATTAAACCGCAGAATGTTCGATTTTCCTGGTGGTTGTGTAGGGTATCATATGGTCGGCCCGTCCGACTATACTACTCCGCTCACTGTTTTTTTAACCAAATTTTTACATCGAAGTGGCTATAATCTGGCATATCGGATTTTTGGTAAATATAAGTCTTCTTTCCAGAAGGTTAATATTTAAAAATAATCATAAACATACGCACCACTTAATTTTCGGAAGGTTCAACCTACCCCAGTTTTTCAACCTGAGTGTATGTACAACAACCTACTACCACATATGGCAATAACATGTTCCCATTTAAAATTCCTCCGAAGGAATTTTAAATGTAGACCACATAGTGGTGGTATACAAATTTCTGTCCGGCGCAGCTATTGGGTGTCAAATATTGATTCACATTTTGGTAGAATCTCTCAAACCACGAGACGCTCAAGTTTTTGAAATTTTAAAGCAGTGTTGGGCATAACAAAATTGAGCATAAAAGTGGGTGAGCGTAACTGAGAAATTATCATTAAAAACGACTGACGAAAAGAGAAAAAGAGAATGCGTGTTTAACCATCGACACTCTGTTACGGTAGCGTGTATGGCCGAGCATGCTTGTTTTAAAGAATTCAGACATGTTTTCAACCGTCATGCTAGATTTTCGGTATGTTCAATGTTCGGTAGGTTCAAGGCATTTCGTGGTTGCATTTTTCAATGGTGTAACCCTTAAAAAACTGATGAGATCGAATTTTTGTATATTGAATGTCCACCTCATGATGGAGGGTTTAAAAAGTTCGAACCGGCCGAATTTAACGAAGATCATACTTGTTTTAGCATACATTTTTATACCCTACACAACTATGTTGTCAGGGTATTATAGCTTTGTGCAGCCCCAAAAGTTTGTAACGCAGCGAAATATTGATCCTAAACCCACCTTTATGTATACCGATCGTAATATCTCGACTAGCTGATTCGATCAAGACATGTGTGTCCGTCCGTCCGTCTGTCCATTATAATTGGTAAATACGATACAGGCCACAGTTATGGACCAATCTTCATGAAATTTTGCATGTAGGATGGGTTCTGGCCAATGAAGACCCCTATTGTTTTTGGAAAAGATTGGTTAATATTTAGGGGATGAAATGGACCAAAAACTTTATTTTTGTCGGTTTTTCTGGTCGCTCCAGAGGCCGCAATTATGGCCCAAACACTGCGAATTTTTGCACGGAGAAGGGGATTGGGCCAAAGAATAATCATGCCTATTTTGATAAAGATCGGTCAATATTTAGTGGGTCAAATGGACCCTGACTTTTTTGTGAAAAATAAAAAAAAATTATTCTACAGCGTATATATTTACCCATGAAGAACAAAGACCCGAGAAGTTGATAGTATAACCCAGAGGAGTGGTTGACCTTTAAATTGATACCAATTATATGGTCGTATGTATTCATATGTGGGAGTTACAGTACGTTTACATTTAACCGGATTTCGTTAACCCAGTGGGTTTCAATTGCCATTTCCTTTCCATATATGTCAAATAAATCCTCATAAAGTGGGTTAACCCCGGTAAAAAGTTCTAATGTACAAGGAGTTTTACACTTAAATATTTACAGGTGCTTACGTACTGAGATATTACTTAGTAACGCATTAGCACACTGGAGGGCGGAAATATAGAGCTGATCGCTTCGAAATGTTCCATGAGGTTCCAGTAGTGGTCAAGGACAACGACTATAATTTTCTGTGATGATCAGATAATAATTTTGGGATGAAGTGGACCGAAAACTTATTTTTTCGAGTCGATCTATAGGCCACAATTATAAACCGAACATCACAACACAACCCACGGTCAAGGTAATCTGGACAAGTTATTAGAAGGACTGTACTGAATATTAGTAATATTCGGAGAATAAGTTAATGTAAGGAAATAGTACTGTTGGCCTCAAATCGGCCAAGAGGTGCAACTGTCACGAAATATTGTCAGGCTCTGAATAAAAATCCGCAGAAAGTTAGATTTCCGTGATAGTTGTGTAGGGTATCGTATGGTCGGCCCCGTCCGACTATACTGCTCCGCTCACTGGTTTAATTATGATATGCATTCTAACAGTTACTCCAGCACATACAAAATTGGTGCATTATAGCAAATGGACGATCTTGTTCGATATAATTTCTTTTCGTACAGAATTTTGTTAATTATTTGAAAGCAATCAACTTATTTCAAATTATAGATGGGCATGGCTAAAATGTTCTCCAGTCGCAATTTTGGTAAGATGTTAAAATCACCAGGACCCTTGGCACTGTCCGAAGTAATCCACCAAGCATCGATTGAAATTAATGAGGAGGGAACAAAAGCTGCAGCAGTTGCAGGTATTTATAATAACTTTTAAACTAAAAACAATAAATAATTATTATTTTTTTTTTCATAGCTGCCGATGCATATCTGCGTTCATCTTTGCCGGTCTTTGATTTCAAGGTTAATCGTCCATTTTATTATGCCATCATCAATGAAGATTTTATACCATTTTTTGAGGGGACATTCGTGGGAGTTTAAAGGGCTTATTATACTAACATTCAATACCACAGCAGCACAAACACTTAAATTTTAAATAAATACTAAGCACAAATGCTTTACATACTGCATTTTTATAATATCTACATTATTTCAATTGTTTATAGTACGTTTACATTATACCGGATTCCGTTAACACAGTGGTTTTCAATTGTCAATTCCATTGTACGCATGTCAAATAAATCCTCATAGAGTAGGTTAACCCGGTAAAAAGTTTTAATGCAAATGTCGTATTAGATTCATGGTATAATTATAAAAGGTAACAGCAAGTGTTGTTGTACAAAAAACTATACAACAACCACATGGAAATTTGTTGTTGTAAGTTCTACTAGTGTCAACTCATTTGACAGAAAAATGTAAACAAACAAACAAATTATCATCAAATTATTTTTATTTTGAAAATGGAATATTTTCGAATCCTCAAAATAAAAATTGAATAACATGAATGAAAATCTATCAAATTTATATTTCTATCGCTTCCACATCTTTCCTTTAATTGAGCCATTGCCATATATATGGGTAACACATATGACAATGCTGGGAATAGCGAGTTATTCCTTCAAGAAAGATTTGCTTCCTCAAACTTTCCCAGCAGGCAGATTGAGTAAATTGAATACGGAGCACATTAATAAAGAACAATTTCAAATTGTATGTGTTCCCAATTTTCCTGTTGGGTGATTTTTAAAAACATAATTTGTCAAATTCATATTGACACTAGTATTACGTTGGAATCAAATCAGCTGGGATTTGCTGTTACCTTTTATAATTGTACCATGTATTAGATTTAAAATTGAAAATAAGGATGTTTTATATTGCTTTTTACTGAAATATTTGAATTTTATTTATCCTATTCAGGAACATAATCTAATAACAAATAGTGGTTATCATATAGACCGGCATGGGTAGTGTATAATTTTTTACTTGTTTTTCTATAATAACATTCTCGGACAAATTGTTTATATTTTAATTCTGACTGTCTATCAATGCCTCCAATATTTAACATAAATTCAAAATTCCGTCATGCATTCGTCATTATCAGAAAATGCCATCTGTGACAATTCCTAAGAAGTGTCTACAAGATGAATTTATATTTGTTATGCGTTTATATTCTACGCATTCGCCTTATTCGTCTTCACTAGGTTGTTTTTGCTCTTATTTAAATACATAAATATGTATTGCGTTGTTCTTCATGCTAAATAATTTCTAACCTTTGTCTAAATGACAAAAACATTTTGCAATATAAATAAACAACATTTGTTAAAATATTATTCAGTTATAGATTGCACCTTTAAACATTAATACAGTTTGGCAAATAAACAAATAAATATAAAAATATGGAACTCAGTGGTAAGTATAAATAAAAAGCACCTTCAAATCATTATTTATACATTGAAGACATTAACATCATTCCATTTATGGAAATACATAAGATCAATTTCAAATTTCCACGAATTTCAACATTTTTATTTAGTTCATTTTTCCAAGTAAAAACGTCGGTAAGTTTGGCCGGGCCAGACTTTTTATACTCTCCACCAGATGGAGGGACTATGTCCGTGTATTGTGTGATAGCAAGTTGTCATGGCCTGAAAACATAATGTTCAAATTACATACTTGGAAAATTGAGACAGGGACTTTAACATGCAAAAACCAGTAGGGTAGTGAAGTCGAACTGGGCCGACTATATGATACCCTTCTCCACTTTGGATATATTCTACATATGTCTCCTGACAGACATCGCCTCTCGAAAATACATTGACATAAGATTGAACGAACTTAAATAAGTGATCTTTATCTTTCCGGAATCTATGCTAAATGTCATTTCATTTGGGCAAGTTTAGGGTCGTTTGCGTACAATGGGACAATACACGCTATTCGGTAGGTCGCACTTTTCAAAATTTAGATATATAGGGGTTTTGGTCCATCATACATAAAATATATATGGGAGCTATATCTTAATCTGAACCAATTTTCACGAAGCTTGATAGACCCCATTCTAGACTCAATTCAGTACAGTATGCCAAATTTCGTGCAAATCAAAATTAATTCGGACGAAAATATATATGGGAGCTATATCTAAATCTGAACCGATTCTCACGAAACGTAGCACACATCATTATGGACTCAATTCAGTACGCTGTGCCAAATTTCGTGCACATCGAAAGATATATCGGAGTTTTGGTGCACCATTTACATTAAGTCGGACGAAGATATATATGTAAGCTATATTTAAATCTGTACGGATTTCAACAAAACTTAGCATACATTAATCTGTACCTAATTCAGTACGCTGTTCAAAATTTTGTCTCAATCGAACAAATCTTGAGAGTTTGGTGCACGATTTACATAAAATCGGACGAAAATATATGTGGGAGCAATATCTTAATCTGATCCGATTTTCTCCAATTCTCATTGGGTACGTCCTTTGTCCAAATTAGTGACCTTTGCCAAATTTCATCCGATTCGGATCGACCTGTTCTTTGTTTACAATTTAACATGAACAAAGGGACGGACGGTCTGGCGGACATGCAGAAATCGGCTCAAGAAGTAATTCTATGAATATTCTCAATAGAGTAGATTTATACTTGTGTATCCATGCGTTCGTCTGTCCATTATAATTTATAAACACGAAATCATTGGACCAACATCTATATTTTTGTACGTTTTTCTGGTCGCTCCAGAGTCTAAAATTATGACCCGAACACCGCGAATGTTTATGATTACGATAAATATTTAGCGGGTCAAATGGACCCAAACTTTTGTGTGAAAAATTAAAGAATTAGAATTCTATGGCGTATATATAAATATATATACTCCTGATGGAAATATACCTTATATGTTGACATAATATGCAAGATCAGTGGTTGAGAGTGTGTAGAGGGCGCAAATGTCAGGCTGATCGCTATGAAATTTTACATGAACTTCCGGTTATGGTCAAATCAACCGAGATATATCTGCATAAAATTACAAAAAAAATGCATGTGCTCATCCCTGAAAACAATATTCGGAGAATATGCCTGGGATATATAGACGAGTTGTTGACTTCAAAGCAAGTATCGCAAAATATTGTCCAAGCACTAAATATAGATCTGCAGAAAGTTACAGTCATGTGGCAATTGTGTAGGGTATCATATGGTCGGCCTCGTCTGACTATATTGCTCACTGGTTTGTGATAGGGAGATGTTCTACTCAATGATAATCCAGAATATAAAATTGCAGTCAATTTGGTTTAAGGGAACCCCCCTCATTCACGATTTTAATTTTTCAAGATTGTCAATGGGCTAGTAAATCAATGCCAATGCTTGATAATGTTTGTAACTTTGCACATATATACTTGAAGATTTAAAAGAGAAGAAAAATAATTTACAAACAATTTTTGTTATTGTTTTGTTGTTGTGATTAAAGAAAAGTCCTTACTTTTGATGGCGGGCATGATAACTCCTCACTGGAACATCGGAATCCGAAAATTCCAACGGTGTTAGAAAGAGCACATGTCTGTCTCTCGACTTATTGACTTCGCTCTAAAATTAACAAAATGGCGGACCTTTAAAAAAATAGTTTTGGAAAATCGCCGATTTTTTACCAAAAACCAAGTTAAAAAATAAGGAAGATCTTCACCTATTGACTTTATCCTAGGTCATACGATAGCTATACACTCACAGAGAAACGAGTAAAAATTTGGAATCGATTGGGTCATTAGTTTTTGAGTTATCGTGCCCGCCATTCACAAAAGAGAAAAACGTGTTTAAAGTTTGAGAAGCCCTTTAGCCGTCACTTGATGCTGACACATTAAATCGGCTATATCTTCAACAGTTCTTGAGATTTTCACTTGAAATTTTGTAGGGACCTTCTTGAATTACTGTAGATTCGAATTAAATCAACAAATTTTTTGACCCAAATTCTCCAAAATACCGACATTTGCGATGTAGCGTTGTATGAGCCTATACCCAAAAGTTTCCATATACCAAAATTTGGGGCTACTCTATAAAGTGGACCAATACTGATAATTTTTAGTAGGAAAAGAACCCGAAATACTAATCAGCTGATTAGGTTGAAAACGTGCCTAAAAGCTTCAAACTACCGAATTTTCAGTACCAAACATCCTTGGGGGAGTAACAATATGTGTGCAACATTTCACAGCTCTTTATTACATGTTTTTATTATAAAACCCAAAATATATGTATGTATCAGATCTCGTATATATATATATATATATTGAATTATTTAATTTACTAATAATTTTTCAATTTAATTCATTTCAGTTAAGATATTTCCCCACGTAATTCTTGTCGTTTTACTGGCATGCTCATCGCCAGCGAGATCGGCAAAACCAGAAATAAACTACAGATTGGGCAGTTTCAATCGTCAACTACTTCATGAAGTATTTACAACAAATGAAAATCAAAATACACTGATATCTCCCTTTGCCTTGCGTTCAGCTCTATCAATGGTCCTAATGGGAACTGGTGGCGAGACGGCTGATGAAATAGAACAAACCTTGCGGCAATATGAAACGGAATCTGAAATATTGGAAAAATATGGATCTTTGCTGGCGAATTTTAAAAGCGAAACTAATTTAAAAATTGCAAACATAATTTGCCTTAATCACAAATTTCGACTGAAAGACAATTTTTTACAAATTGTCACCGGACAATTTTATTCAACTCGACTTTTGGTGGACTTTTTTCAACTCAATCAAGCAATGGAAGTCATAAATGAAACCATTGGCAAAAATACAAATTACACTATTAAAAATGTATTGCAACCTCAAGATTTGGGCCACAATCCAGAAGCATTACTGCTAAGTACGGCACACTTTAATGGGGATTTTGCTTTACCCCTACCCGCCGAGGGAATAGAAGAAAAACCATTTCGTCTAAATGCCACAAGCCGAATAAATATTCCCATGATGAAATATAAGGGAAAATTCGAATATGCCATGCTAACCAAAGACCTTTTATCAACAGCTATTCGTATACCGTATAGAGATTCGGATTTATCATTAATTGTTATAAAGCCAGCCGATAGAATGCCAATGAAAAGATTTATGAGAATTATACAGGAAATTGATTTCGATTTAAGATCCTTGAAGAGGAAATTCACAGAAGCTGAAGGGTATATTATTTTACCCAAATTTAAAGCACAATTTCAAATGAATTTGAAATATTTTTTAAAGAAGGTAAGTTTTGGAATTATCAATACAGCATATGTTTAGATATGAGCTAATATTAAAATCTGGAAATTTTGAATTAGGACCATAGCAGATGTTGAAATTTGAAACAGACCCAAAACAAATAATTTCAGATTCAAGGCCTTAGCACATGCATATTTTATAGGTCTGTGGGGAATATTTGCAGGTGTTTCAAGCAGAATCTTTTGAGATTTAATTTATTTTGAAAAATATGTCATCAGTTTTTCAGGTCTTTTTTTTGTAAAAAATTGTTCTCCCTTTTCATTTTAATCCTCCAATTTTTTCCTGATCCACGGGAACCGAAGATAAGTATTAGTAGAAATTGGATTCTGTATCGGAAAATTCATTATGGAAAAATTAGGTTCTGAGCATTAGGTTCTGAGTTTATAGAGAAAATGGTCCCTCCTTCTGAGTATTGTTTCCATAAAAAAACAGTAAAAAAAAGTTCAAAGGTCGGACGGGGCCGACTATATGATACCCTTCGCCACTTTAGATACATACAAGAGATGATTATATATACCATATCCTGTAGATAGAACAGACATATAATCTTTAGAGGAACATTGAAATAAAATCGGGCGAAACTAAATGTGTGATCTACATAGATATATAAACCATAAAAAACGCATATCAGTCAATCAGATTCTGTGGTGTACCATCCAATTCGGATTTTCTGGTGTACCGTGAAATCGAGACAAAATAATGTATGTGTAGCTGTATGTAAATATGGATATAATTGGGCAACCGTGGAGTATACCACGTTATGCTGCAGTACAATGCGCTGTCCTCAATTTCATAAACATAGGCTCTTTGGTGCACCATTTACATAAAATCTGACGGAACTATATGTACGAGGTATCTAAATCTGAATCGGAAAATCCTCGGATGTTTGGTGCACCATTTAGATAATTTCGGACGGAGCTATATCTAAATCTGAACCGATTTCCACAAAACTTCGAATATTTCAATATTTGTAGCGATCGGACAAAAATTGGAAGTTTTGTGCACCATTACCAAAAATCGGACGAAACTATATATGGGTGTTATATATAAACCTAGTTCAGTACGCTGTGCAAAATTTTGTTTGAATCGGTAAAATATTGTGTGTTTGGGGAACCATTTACCAAAAATCGGTAAAAAAATATATATGGGAGCTATATAACTTCGTATATATCAATATGGACTTAGTTCAGTACGCTGGGCAAAATTTTATTTCAATCGAAACAAATACTGGGTGTTTTGTGCACCATTTACCTTATATCGGACGAAACTATATAGGGTTGCGTTACCTTAAATAATTGTTCGTCATGTAACAATATATTCTCCTTCAATTTCAGATGGGTATGACGAAGTTCTTTACCTCAGCTCGCTTCGATAAAATGATTGAACAAAATCAAGCCATTCACTTTAACGATGTCATCCATCAAGCTTCGATTGAAATAAATGAATCGGTTGAGAAAGTTGTACCCTATGACTGTAAGTATATTCTTAAACATCATATTTTCTTAATAATTATATTTACAATAATATTTTATTTTCTTCACTTCTATTTATATAGTCGCTAATACCATGCACCGTCAATACGAGATATTTGAAGCAGATCGTACATTTTACTATGCTATAGTTAATTCTCAATTTGAGCCGATATTCGAGGGAACTTTTGCCGGAATGTCAATGTAAATATTTGATACGTGTTTAAATGTATAAACAATTATAATAATAAACAAATGATTCGGAATAAAGCTTGTTTGGGATGCATTCGGATTTTTTTAATAATCAGTGTTTTACTGTGGGTCAAAGGGGAAATGTATATAATTAATACAGTGCATATTTCATTTAAAAAAGTCTTTTATTAGTCCCTAAAAAACATTATTTAAAAAAAGCCTTGTATTAGTCTCTGAAAATATTCTTTACAAAATCCACGCCTTATATTAGTCCCTGAAAAAATATTCTATAAAAAATCCATGTCCTGTATTAGCGCCTAAATAATATATATATATTTTTTAAATTCGCTCATCGCATTATTATATTATATAAAATATATATTTTTTTAATACACGCCTTGTACTAGACCCTAAAATTATTAGTCTCCGAAGAAATATTATTTATACTCTTCACCACACTGTGGTGAAGTGTGTCCATGTTAAATTGTTGTGTCCATGTTAAATTGTAAACAAATTACAGGTCGCATTTATGACCCGAATTGGATGAAAGTTGGTCATTTATTTTGTCCAAGGACGAACCCTGTTGAAATCGGTTCAGATTTAGATATAGCTCCCATATATAGTTTCGTCCGATTTTCAGTAAATGGTGCACCAATGCCCCTATATATCATTCGATTTGCACGAAATTTGGCACAGCTTACTGAATTAAGTCTAGAATGATGTGTGCTAAGTTTCGTGAAAATCGGTCCAGATTTTGATATAGCTCTCATATATATTTTCGTCCGATTTAAAGTAAATGGTGGACCAATGTCCCTATATATCTTTCGATTTGCACGAAATTTGGCATAGCGTACTGAATTGAGTCTAGAATGATGTGTGCGAAGTTTAGTGAAAATCGGCTCAGAGTTAGATATAGGTCCCATATATATCTGCATCCAATTTAAAGTAAATTGTGCACCAATGTCTCTATATATCATTCGATTTGCACGAAATTTGGCACAGCGTACTGAATTAAGTCTAGAATGATATGTGATAAGTTTCGTGGAAATCGGTTCAGATTTAGATATAGCACCCATATATATTTTCATCCGATTTTATGTAAATGCTACACCAAAGTCCCTATATATCTTTCGATTTGCACGAAATTTGTCATAGTGTAGAGTGATGTGCGATAAGCTTCGTGAAATTTGTTCCAAATTTAGATAAAGCTCTCGGTTCAATGAAATGAAATTTAGCATAGGTTCCAGAAAGGCATAAAGATCTTATATTCAAGTTCGTTCAATTTGATGCAAATGTTCTTTCGAAAAGTTGGAGTCTGTTAGGAGGCATATTTAGAATATACCCAAAGTGATGAAGGGTATTATATAGTCGGCTCAGTCCGACTTTGCTACTTTCCTAACTAGTTTTTATTAGTCCCTGAATATATATTTATGTTCTCAAACTAAATACATTTTTGGCGTCTCTTCTCAAATCCAAATCCCAAACATTAACATTGCAAATATTTCAGCAAACACGAAATCGCATCGAAGTTCGCTCTTCGGGCACAGTGTGAGACCTTTGCTAGATAACAAATCAATATTTAAATGCATTGTATTCATTATGCTATTATTGTTGAACCACTGTACAAGCTTTGCGGTTTTGTTATTTCCATTTCATCTACAAAAACAAAAATTGATAAATCGACAACAACAATTCGCTAAGTAATGACACTTTATTTCTAGCTTTGATTGATAATCAAAATCAGTGCTAAGAAAACATTTGCTATTTAAACACGTCCAGTGAGAAAATCTCGCATCGCTTCAAAACAGAATGGGGCTAAATGGTGAATAGTATTTTTTGTTGTTATTGTTGTTGTCGTTTTGTGTTTCTAATCGTATCGAAGTAATATACTAATTGTAAGGTCATGAACGTGTTTATGAAGTAATTTAATAATACGACTTAGTTGAAAAAAGTGAAAACAAAAACCATAACTCATTCACGATGAATCAAAAATAAAATTAGTTGGGGAGCAGTCCACTGATTTTATGCCAAAATTTTTAATAATATGCCAATGCCAATGTCGAATTATTTCCAACTTTATCAAATAATACAAACCAAAAACCATTATCTAAACCTGACTAAAAGTTCAAAAACGTTCGATCCTGCCAAAACGTAATTTTTCAAAAAATCTCAGCCTTTTGGTGCTACATGTTCCTGTATTACTCCCTGAAAAAATATTCTTCATAAAATCCAGACTTGCCTACGTTCTTGAAAAATATTCTTCAAAAAAACAACGATTGTCTGAATTTATAAAAAAAATATTCTTTATAAGGATCCATGGTTACATAAGATCTTTAAAAATAAAAAATTAAGGCTTGTCGCGATCCTTGAAAAATATTTTTTTGAAAAATCCGCACCTATATTGGCCTTTGAAAAATGGTATTTAAAAAATCACGACATGATGCCTCAAATAGACCCTGAATTTTTTTTTTTAAAAAATCCGTGTCTTATATTATTTTTGAAAAAATTAGTTCCTGAAAAAATATTCTTTAAAAATCCATGCTTCGTATTAGTTCCTGAAAAAATATTCTTTAAAACATCCATGCCTAACCTGACAAAATATTTTTTTTTTTTAAACACCAAAAAGTATGTTTTTATAAATCCAGGCCTATATTGGCCCTTGAAAATTTGTCTTTTATAAATCCACGCCTATATTGGCCCTTGAAAAATATTCTTTTTAAATCCACGCCTTTATTGGCCCTTGAAAAGTATTATCTTAAAAATCAAAGCCTATATTGGCCCTTGATAAATATTCTTTTATAAATCCAGGCCTATATTGGCCCTTGAAAATTTGTCTTTTATAAATCCAGGCCTATATTGGCCCTTGAAAATTTGTCTTTTATAAATCCAGGCCTATATTGGCCCTTGAAAATTTGTCTTTTATAAATCCACGCCTATATTGGCGATTGCAAAATATTCTTTTATAAATCCAGGCCTATATTGGCCCTTGAAAATTTGTCTTTTATAAATACATGCCTATAATGGCCCTTGAAAAATATTCTTTTATAAATCCAAGCCTATATTGGACTTTGAAAAATATTATTTTATAAATCCAGACCTATATTGGCCCTTGAGAAATATTCTTTTATAAATCCAGGCCTATATTGACCCATGGAAACTATTCTTTTTTAAATCCACGCCTATATTGGCCCATTAAAAATATTATTTAAGACAATCTACGCCTATATTGGCCCTTGAAAAATATTCTATAATAAATACACGCCTATATTGGCCCATTAAAATTATTAAAATAATTATTAAGAAAATCCACGCCTATTTAAGTCCCTCAAAAAAAAAAACATTATTTGAAAAATCCACAACTTGTACTAGTCCCTGAAAATATATTTAAAAACCAGTAAGGAAAGTAGTAAAGTCGGACGGGGCCGACTATATGATACCCTTCACCACTTTGAAGGACCATTTTTAAAGGACCAGTAAAATGAAATTGGAACCATAAACACGCCATTCTGCAATCGATACTAAATTGTTCATTTGGTCAGATAAAGAAGCTATATCTAAATCTGAACCGATTTCAGGAAACTTAACACACATCTAGGCCTAATTCATTACGCTGTGCCAAATTTAGTGCACACCGAAAAATATTAAGGGACTTTGGTGCACCATTTACATTAAATCGGACGAAAATATATGGGAGCTATATCTAAATTCGAACCGATTTTCAGGAAACTTAACACACATAATTCTAGACCTAATTCATTACGCTAAACCAAATTTAGTGCAAATCGAGAGATATATAGGGACTTTTGTGCACAATTTAACTTAAATCGGACGAAAATATATATGAGTTCTATATCTAAATTTGAACCGATTTGCAGGAAACTTAACACACATCATTCTAGAGATAATTCATTACGCTGTGCCAAATTTCGTGCAAATCGAAAGATATATAGGGACTTTTGTGCACCATTTACATTAAATCGGACGAAAATATATATGGGAGCTATAAATAAATCTGAACCGATTTTCAGGAAACTTAATACACATCATTCTAGACCTAATTTGTTACGCTGTGCCAAATTTCGTGCATAAATCGACTCAAAAAGTGATTCTATGCATATTCTCGAAAGGAACCATGTATCTATCTCGTTTCCTTTTGCCTGTTACAAACATATGCACAAAGACATAATACCCTGTACCACAGTGTGGTGAAGGGTATAAAAAGAATTTGGTTCAAGAACCTCAAAATACCGAAAATTGGGGGGCTACCAGAAAAAATTGACCAATATTTATAATTTATAGTGGATAGATTTGCTACCTAATAAGAACTGGACGTACTAAATTACAGTCAATTCGGTCGAAAAATACGATCAGAGCCCCCAAAATACCAAAAATTTGGGGTTACAGTTATATGGGGACTACCAGAAAAACTGGACCTATATTTATAATTTTGGAGTAATTTGGCACCCAATAAGAACCCAATGTACAAAATTTCAGAGAATTAGGTTATAAAACGAGCCCAAGAACCCGAAAATACCGAAAATTGGGGGTACCCTTATATGGGGGCTCTCCGAAAAACTGGACCTTTATTTATAATTTTTGGTAGGGAGATTTGCTACCCAATAAGAAGTCAAAGTACCAAATTGCAGCGAATTCGGTCGAAAAATGCGATCAAAACCCCCAAAATACCGAAAATTGGGGGTACACTTATATGGGGGCTATCCGAAAAAATTGACCTTTATTTATAATTTTTGGTAGGAAGATTTGCTACCCAATAATAACTCAAAGTACCAAATTGCAGCGAATTCAGTTAAAAAACGCGCTCAAGAACATCAAAATACCGAAAATTGGGGGTACCCTTATATGGGGGCTATCCGAAAATATGTACCTTTATTTATAATTTTTGGTAGGGAGATTTGCTACCCAATAAGAACTAAAAGTACCAAATTTCAGCGAATTCAGTTAAAAAACGCGCTCAAGAACCTCAAAATACCGAAATATGGGAGCTATGCCTAAACGTGGACCGATTTTCTCCAATTTTAATAGGGTTCGTCCTTGGGCCAATTAAGTGACCTGTGCCAAATTTCGTTCAATTCGGATCATAAATGCGACCTGTACTTTGTTTACAATTTAACATGGACAGACGGACGGACAGACAGACGGACATGCGTAAATCGACTCAGAAAGTGATTCTATGCATATTCTCAAAAGGAACCATGGGTCTATCTCGATTATTTTTGCCTGTTACAAACATATGCACAAAGACATAATACCCTGTACCACAGTGTGGTGAAGGGTATAAAGAGACCTTAAAAAGATCGACGTTATTTATTAATGAAAAATATTCTTCAAAAAATCCACGCCTTGTATTAGAACCTGGAAAAATATTCCTTAAAAAGTCCCCACCTTTATTGGCCCTTGAAAAAATATTATTTAACTAATCCACGCTTGTATTGAATCCTCGAAAAATATTCTTTGACAAATTCTCGCTGATTAGGATATTTTGTGGAAACCATTTTTTAACAAATTTAAGCATTCGGGCATAATAATCTCGCTTAGATTTAGTGTTGAAAAATATATATCTTTAACAAATTTAGTTTTTCTATAAAAAAAATTTTATTTATTTCTGGTTTTATTTCCAGTCAAAATATCCCGTGTCCTTTCAACAACTGCTCTGCTCCTACTCACCGTTTATTCTGTCACCTGTGCAGGCGATGTGGAATTCAAATCAAGCCTACGTGGCTTTAGCCAACAACTTTTCAGTGAATTATTTAAGACAAATAGTCAGACAAACATCATTTATTCACCATTCTCCATACATAGTTGCCTGGCCATGACACGAATGGGTGCCAATGGTCAAACGGCCACTGAAATGGATCAAGGCCTAAAATTCACAGGACAAAAACCCGAAGATATTGCTGAAAATTATCACACCCTATTGGCAAAATATGAAGATGGCAAAATGCTGAAAATTGCCAATAAAGTCTATGTAAAGGAACACACTCTACTGCAGGATGATTTCAAAAATGCTCTTACGGAAAAATTCTTCTCCTCGCCGGAATTTGTTGATTTTGAACATACCAAAGAGGCAGCAGACCTCATTAATAAATGGGTTGAATCGAAAACTGATAATAAAATCCATAATCTAATCTCACCATCTGTTTTGGGTATTGATACCCACTTGGTGTTGGTTAGTGCCATACATTTTAAGGGTGAATGGCGGACGCATTTCGATGAGGAATATACAAGTGATCAAGATTTTTTCGTTGATGATAAGACAAGTGTTAAGGTACCAATGATGGTGGCAGAGGATTATTTTGATTATGCTGAATTAATGGATTTGGATTGTAGCGTTGTACGCATGCCGTATAAAAATTCCGATTTGTCAATGATTATTTTATTACCAAACGCAAAGACGGGTTTGAACTCGTTGGAGGAGAAGTTGAGAACGGTATCGCTAAAGTCGCTGCAATCACGTCTTTCCAAACAACATGTTGAGGTGTTAATGCCGAAATTTGAGGCAGAGTTCGAAATTAATTTACTGGAGCCGTTAATGAATGTGAGTTAAACATAAATGGGAAGTGAATTTGTTAATACAACATATCTTGTTTACAGATGGGTATGAAACAAATGTTTGGCCGCGCCGATTTCACAAAAATGAAGAAATCCCCGGAACCCTTGTATATCTCAAGTGCGGTACATAAGGCTTTTATATCGGTCACAGAATATGGTACCGAAGCAAGTGGTGCAACAAGTAAGTGGAAATTAAATAAAAATATAATTAATTTGTTTATTAATATAAATATATTTTATTATTTATTTCTAGGTATTGTTGCAACTGCTCGATCGCTACCCGCTTTCTTTACAGCCAACCACCCATTCTATTATGCAATTATTAATGAGGACTTTATACCAATTTTCCAAGGCACTGTTGTTAAGTTTTGAAAAATTTAATATAAAAATTTTACTTTGTGATAAAAATATTTAAAAAAAATACGAATTTCCAAAATACAATAAATCGGATAAAACAACTTGAAAAATACTACTGTCTTGCTTTCTTTTAAGTAATTTTGTGATACTTTGTCGGTGATGTATTTGGAATTCCCCTGAAAGCAATAACATGCGAACAATGGACAGACTGCTGCTAAAAATAATAGATTTGTTTTTGACTAACAACAAATGCACAAATATTTTTGTTTTCTTAGTAAATGAATGATTTCATTATTTATTTGCTTTGAGATATATGCGGTTTTGATGTGCATATTAGTTTTTCGAATATGTTGTTCATTCTATTCGGCACATTTATCGCAATGGGAACGAGTAAGTACCACATATTTCTTAATTTTTAATATAATGAGGTTTAAAAAGGGGTATTTTGGATTTTTTTAAAGAATATTTGTATAGGGATTTTATAAAGAATATTTTCCGGGGACCAATACAGGGTGTGGATTTTATAAAGAATAATTTTCAGGCACCAATACAAGGCGTGGAGTTTTTAAAGAATATTTTTAAGGAACAAATACAAGGCGTGGCATTTTTAAAGAATATTTTTAAGGGACAAATACAAGATGTGGGGTTTTTAAAAAATATTTTTAAGGGACAAATACAAGGCGTGGAGTTTTTTAAGAATA